TCCAGTCATTGATTTTAGATAACTCAAACATTAAAAGTTAAATGCAATAAGTCAATTTCTATTTTATAATAACTGGTTGTAATATAAGTTTTTTGTTCAATTAATAGATAAATCACAATATTTGCAAATAAACTAATGATGAACTAATGAACTAGTAAATATCAGCTAATAAGTGAAAAGTTTCTCTAAAAAACCAATTTGGCTACTGGCACCTAATCTGATCTAATTAATTTGAACAAAATAGCTTGAAAACGTTTTAAATGAAACTAGTGAAAAACTTTCAATTTTCGAATTGTAACATTTATATATAAAGAAACTAAAAGCCTCTTCGTAAGAGCATTATAAGATGGTGGTTCATGAATGTTTCAATATAAAACATTTATATAAGTATTTACTAAATTAATTATCTGTTTAAGTAAATTTTCTTTTATTTTCTTATATTTCTTTACAGCAAGTACTTACATTTTTGATTTTTTTTATGATTTGTAATTATTTTAGCATTACTCATGATAAAGATAACAAGAGACATTGTGTTGTGTTGTGTATTATTATACAACACTTAATATTTTTTAATAAATTTACATTTAAATCTGAAATGATTGAATTGAACACGATGAAAAATTCGCAGAAAAATAAGTCTAGAAACGCAGTCACAATGTCTCTTCTTATCTATATGCCTTCATAATATATTGACAGGCAGCAATTTACATAATAATCACAAAAATGGCAAAACGATTATGCCTCGCATTCATGTAAATAAATCGGGGAAACATGTTATTTCTAATAGAAAAAGAATCCATGAAATTCGAAATCTTTAGGAAATTTAAGTAGAGCTAACAAAATTGTATTAAAACAGTAGAAAGAGCAGACTTCGTAGTAAAATTGTGAATTAGCAACCACTGGCTCCAGGTTCGATATCTACTCTGGCCAGTTTGACATGATATCAGATCTTCACATAAATGTCTAATACAGTAAATGACTAATACATTTAAGAATTAAAAAAACATCTCAAAGATCTATTTTAAGTCTACTTAATAAGCAAAAATCCATTTTATATTTTTTCATTTCTTGCCAACGCTGTAAACAACTGTTTCACTGAACGTTGCTAATGATTTTTAGATTTATTTTCTCATATTTTATGAGTAATTGAATCGATTTAATGTTTTATGCAGATTGATAATAAAACAAATAAAAATTCAAAAAATGTTTTAATGCTGTGATATAATTATTTGAAATATTATAAACATAACTCCATTGCCTGAAAAGATCTTAACTGAGATTTTATAGAATTTTTTCTGATGAACTTATTATAACTATTATTAACAATTATCCGATGTTTTAATAATTTATTTTTTTATGGACATATGAATATTATTATTAAATAATGTTCGCTTCAATTTTAATCCGTTTTCTATAAATTATTTAAAATAATAATCAAATTTCCAATTCAGTATCAAGCTCCGTATACAAAACACAAATTGATTTGTTTCGTAACAGATTTTGCGAATACATTAATTAGTCGTAGCAATTATTTTTACATACAACTGCATAATTGCTATTATGATAACCGAATTTCTACTTTATTATACACACACATATATATATATATATATATATATATATAATTTATGTATAAATTTCTGTGTTTGCATAATTATAAACAGACGATTGTAATCTCAAGACAAGATGACCTCTTTGGATCCGGATTTATCAAAAAAATGAGCAAAATAGAAAGTGTTTTCTAAATTTAATAACGATATGCACTTAGTAGTCTGGCAAACATAAATATTAAACATTATGTGCCACTAACCTTCAAAAAAACTAATTATGAAAAAAAGATTAAACAAATTGCTAGACAAATTTGGTCTAAAATGATGATTTTAATTTAACATTTTAATTTTCATTATGTGTTATATTATATACTTGGAGCCCAATTGCATTTTTAGATAGATAATTATATTTATTAGCTGATAATTCTTGGATCATTATTTGTTTATATGCAAATATTATAATGTAACTATTAATTTATTTTTGTAGCTGTACGACTAAAAATGCTACTACTTCTATTATCTTACGATTAGACTACTTCATTAACAAATACTATCCTTAAATCTTCTTTAATAACAGCAGCTAATATATTTAAAAATAAAACAAAAGTTTTTATAAAAATAACAAAAAAGCTTAAATATTATAAGTATAAAATTATTATTAAAGTTTTTATTAAAGCCATATTATTAAAGTCAATGCAGGGCATTACAATTGCCCTAAAAATATATTTTTTTATATTTATAATTCATATCTTTGCAGTTAATTTTCGTATTATGTTAAAATTTTGATTACTTAGATAAGATTATTATGATTAATATAAAATTTTAATTAAATACTGCTCTTTATGTAAATATCGTTAAAGCAGGTATTGTGTGATTAACACAATTCAAAGTTTGAGATTAACTGACAGTTATTACTTTTAATTATTTTTTTGAGAATATAGAGTATATGTACATACAAGTCAAATTGGATATTAATAGTCAATTGTGTGATATTTTAAAGAAATTATAAGATGAATAAGAAGAAATGCACATTTGACTTTCAATACAAAGTTCGAATTTGCCTTCGAAGGATCTTGTAGTGTTATGAGCAAATTATAAATCCTACATTTTCGTCCTATTATACATTTTTATATTTGTTTACAACATTTTAGCAAGTTGACAATTGCAAAAAAATACTTACATTTTTTTTATTATCTCTTTTATTTACAACTGTCCAGTAAAGGAAATTCAATAAATTTGATGAATTTACAATAGTCGGCCGAAAAGGGACATTGAATACTACAAGGGCATGTTGGAAAAAACAACTCAGTAGTTGTTTTTCCATTCGATATAAAATTCACAATATTTTATTGATAATTATATAATTTTAACTATTTAATAATGATTAAGTTATTTCCATTTTTTATCAGGAAAGTTGATGGCTTAAATACAGTGGCGCTTTTCTTTTCAAACTTCTTGGATAGTTCTCTGTTATCAAGGAGTTTGCTAATGAATTTGGGTGACTGATTAGCTTGTTTCTATACTTATTTACACATTTATAAAAATAAAAAAATACAGAAGATTAAAGTGTAAACAATAAGAAATAGATTATTATAAAAAAAACGCTTTTACTTTACTATAAAATCTATGTGAAAAATGTGCCCATAAAATTCATATTTCACATTGGATGAATAATGTAACTATTATTTCGTAAAATCTCTTTAATATAAAAAAGACGTTGCCCTCTCTTCTTACCCCTATCGGGGCAAAAAGTATAATTACAGAAACTGTACAATTACTGAAAATCAAAGTGAACATTTGTGCTTCGCCCTACTCTATATTTCTGTACATATGTACATTTATATGAACACATCAAAATCTATTATCTTCTTTCACTTGTATTTTTTGCAATAGATTCTATAAATCGTCCAGCACACCTGTCCATTACAGGTTGTGATTTCGATTGCCATATAATGCAGACGTTCTATATATAAATTTTTTCTGCATAAGGAAGCAGCGAAGCGAACAAGGACGGATAAAACAAAGACTCTTAGAAATAAATCATAACATCATTTTCCATTCTATTTTAATATTTTCAAATTCCGACATTGAATTCGATACAGTGCATTAATCCGAAATGGAAACTATGCAGAGAAATAAATGATTTCTATGAAAATAGAATTTTTTTGGAAATTATGTCACCATAGAAATCATATTGCCATAGATTCCAATTAGAATTTCCTAAACGCGGGGCGTAATTCTAAACTTTTATGAATTTTTATAATTCAACCGTTTATCGTAGGCCTATAATATTTTATATGTTATTTTAGACTTCGATATCTATAGTTATACATAGTTTTATCAAAATTGTCAAATTTTTTTCAACGTTTAATCACGAAGAAATGGCCTGGCCGATCGCTGCGAAAAAGTGATTAACGCTAGTCTTCATCATCTATATTTTGAAAATTCAAAACCCGTTCGAAAGATATTGGTTGGGAATCGTGCTGATTAGTTTTTGGTAGAGATCGGCCATTTCTTGTAATAAAGTTAAAATAAAAATTGACGATTTTTATGATTCTGGATTAATCGAATGAAAGCTAATTCTGAATTTTCAAAATCGGTCTAGTCATTTTTCGGAAAACGTCAGCAAAAGATAAAAAATTAGCTCACATACACATACATTCATCAAATTTAGTCTCATTGTATTCAGAATGGCTTGGAACGTCGAGAAAACATAAAATTAGCAAATCGGATTATTCGTGAAAATATAAGCTTCTCCTCTGGGAAGTTAAAAAAAAAACAAAGATAATGGCAATGCAAATGTATATAACAAATAATTTCATAAACTTGTGTGTGATTGAACTAGAGAAACATGAACGTCTAGAAATATTCAATTCTGATGTTCAAATTAGTAATCATAATAATATGCTAAATTATTTATAAAAAAGTGACACTTGAAAGGTAATTAGGTAATGATTAATTCGAATTCATCATTTTTATTGCTATCAAGTTTTGAAGAGAATAACAGTAACAAAATGAGAATGGTCTATAGACCAACGCACAGTAAAAGTATCCAATTGGAATTTAGAATATAAAACCCCACAAAATCTATCAATGACCGACCGACGTCAAATGATGTATTGAAACGAGCAAACTATATAAAACGATTTTAAATAAACCAACATCGAACAAGGCAATTGAAAGTCGTGCTGTAAGTCCATCTATCTAGTCATGCAACATTTTATAATTTAAAACACATTTCATTTTAGTCAGCAGTTACTTTCTAAAACGCGACGTGCAGCCTCTAAGAAAACTGCACACAGGTCAGCTCCGGTTATCAACAAATATCAACATTAAAGTAAACAATCGGAAATCAAATCTAAGTTCAATAAAACTATTAATGCACGAGGAATTAAATTAATTACCACGTAAACATTTTATAATAGAATCTTATAAGAATTGCATACTCACATTGACTGTTTGCGCGTTTCTAACTGGAAGATTTTCCGCTTGGCCAGCTTTCACGTGCTGCAGTTCTTATCAGCTATTTGTAATTGGAAAAATATGCACTGATTTCATTAAATTTGTATGCCACTGACACTTAATAGTTATTAAAAATCACATAAATTTTTTACGAAAGCTTTGATTCTACCCGTCTTTAAAAGTAATCATCACGGATTTTGATTTATTTGTATACACTTATTTTTATGATATGCAATCGACATGAAAGTTAGCTAGGCAAAGCCTTGACATTTCATTGTATATCTGTTGACCCAGTCCACAATCAATGTTAAACTTATAGAAATCAAAATAAAACTAATCTTGTTTATATTTATTGAAACGGTAACACTTGAGTTTAAAACGAAACGCAACAGGTTAATTTGAATGTAAAATGGGAATCGATGGTAGGTAGAATTTCAGTTTTTTCGTGTCTAGAATTTAGATTCACTTCGCACGGAGCCTTGGGTACCGTTGTTTTGATTTTTTCCACATGTATTATAGAATTGGAGAGTTTACCGTTATTAAAAGTACTTGGTACACAGATAACCGTCGCGGCGTGACTGACAAGCGTCGCTCGGACGGCAGTCGGCGCGGCGTGGCTGCCTACTTCGTTATTCGCACTACAGCTGATTCTGAAAGGTGGGAGAACATGCGACTATGTATTCGATGTTCGACGTTCTACGCGGATTCGAAATTGCATTTCGATAACAACAAAACGGGAAACGGGTTACCTTCGAGAGAAGCCAATGCAAATCATTGTTTCAATATCATTTTACTTTTATTTTAAGATATTAAACTCATTCTACGAACAATACAAATGATGCATTGCAAAGCAGTTTATAAATGTGAAATATTATTATCATTATGTATGGGCGTAACTATAGTTATATCTATAGATATAAAAATATGAAGTCAATAAATATTACTGATTTTTTGCTCATATCTTAAAAGTAACCGGAATCTTACTTCCTATGAGCTGTTCAGCTAAAACTTCCCCTTACTTCGTATTTTTGGATGGTAACCAATCCATAGTTGATTTCATTACTAGAATTAATCTGATAGGGCGTACTTTTTATTTGAGCAGCAATGCCGCACAGAGGCTTTCACTCGAAAATATATTGTTATCTATATTTCCAAGTAAAAACCGTTATCCTTAACATGCAGTTTGAAGCGGGTCTCGAATCTGAGACCTCTGAATCAAGTCCCGCCGCTCTTAACCGTTTACCTACGGGCGAGCTTTTAATACTAAAGTCGTGTATGTCAGAAAAAGGATAAGACAACTACTGGGTTGGTATCCATAAACCAGCCAAACAATCAGATGTCTAAACAGGTACTAAATGTCCTATAGACAGATTATAAAAATAACTTGAAAATTAGGGCTCGCGCGTAGGTAAGCGGTTAAGAGTGACGGGACTTGTTTCAGAGGTCCCGGGTTCGATACCCACTTCGAACTGCCTGTTGTCAGGCAACATTGACAACGATTTTCACTTGGAAATATAGATAGCAATATGTTTCCAAGTGAAAATGGCCCTCACCCGGCATTGCATATTATTAAAAATATTCGCCCTATTACTGAAATTGTAATAATAATATATCAAACAAAGATGTGATAACTGATTGGGTTGCCATCTGTCAAACAGACTAGTATTAAGTAAAAATCAGGACAACAGCTTATAGGACTATTAGGTTCTGATTGCTGTTCAAAAGAAAAAAATAAAAAAAATAAAAAAAATAGTCCTGGGTCACACCTTTCAACTTGTATCAACGTATTCTCTCGTCGCTTCAATGTAGAAACTTAATTTCAATCGTCCTTTTTTAGAATTTTTATTTTTACCAATCATATAACTATATAATCTGTAAGTTAATTGCAAGTATTGAAAATAAAAATACTACAATACATACTACAGTAGATTCTCGCTAATCCGACACTATTAAAAATCGGAGGGTATCGGATTATTGGAATATTTGGATTATGGTGAATAAGTCATAATTTTTAATATATGATATTTAGAACAGTGTCAAAAATTCCAAAAATTGCCAAAAAATTGTCCTATAATTTACTCGGATTACTGAAGATGTACTTCAATAGTACTTTTAATTTCTAAAACTAATCTGACCGATGAAACTGTGTGGACTACTTATTATTAATCTTTCTAGGAAATCCGTATACGGTCTAATTGATTCAATATTTTGATATTAGTTAGACAAAACAATTTTGTACTCTTGCATATTACTGGATAGCATTATTATTTTATAAACTTATAAAATGATACATTTACGGACTCTATTCTAATTAGAATCCTTAATAAAGATTGAAAATCTTCCTGAACAGTTTTAAAATGTGGACAGACAAAGTAACAAATGAAAAAGTACTGCAAAGACTGAGGAAAGAACTATACTGAAATGTTTGGAAAAGAAAAGGAATCTGATTCGGATCCATATTAGAAATAGAGCTTTCAACATGATGTCATGAAGTGAAAAATAGAACTAGACAGAATATAAATAATGAACAACTTAGGCGAGAGAGGAAAATACATGAAATTGCTTGTTCATATATTTTTATTATGAGTACGGAGTAAGCGATAAAAAAATAGATAATTTCATAAACGATAATTTTGTATACGATGCAATATTAAAAATTAGACAACCTTGAGATAGTTGTTTTCAAAAATATACAAAAATGTGTCAACAGTGAATAATTATTTAATTTCTACGAAAAAAAGCCGAATAAGTAACCACAGCTTAAAAAACATTATTGTTGTCCTTATATGTATATATAAATATATACAAATAACGTAAAAATATATATAAACTACAGAATTTTTAAATATAGTTTGAGTTTGAAGATATAATTTTGCATCAGTTTCATTGAATTATAAACACGGTGACCTTGCTTGGCTTATGCAAATATTTGGATATAAAACACGGATGTTGATATAATGCATCAATTACATAAATAATGTTAATCTAACAAACTCGTCATAAATTAGAACAGGTTCAAGAATCATTAGGGTAGTTTATTCCGTTCACAATTCGATCGCGTTTCAAATCCTTTAGACGTTGTTGCAATTAGTAATTAAAATAAATTACGACATTGCAACAAAAAGAAGTTATATAAAACATAACATAATCTCCAAATCCAAAATATTTAAAACATTTTTCGCCATATTATTTTTCGTATATAACTATTTCTTCAACATAGTTGCAAGAAATGTGCCTTATCACTATTGAAATGTAGTGCAATTTTATTACATCACCAAGAAGATTATGAAACAAGAGATTGCGAAAGCAAATTCAAAATGTATATTCGTGTCAATTGTAAATACGGCGAGAAACGGTATGACATGCTTTTATATTTAATTAGGACAAGCATGGGTAATTCAAGTACCTGCGGTCTTTTAAAGAGAATTAAAGCAAACCAAAATTTGCTGCGAATTCAATTAAATTAGGAATTAAATATTTTTTATAGTATAATTTAAAGATTTATCTTTTACATTTTAGAATCAATACGCCACAGTCCCAAATTAAAGTATTCATCCACAAATTGTAGCCCTTTGTGCCAAATGTTTCCACCTTGCATTTTATTATAATTTATTTCACATCATTCAATTATTATAAATTCCAAAGAAGGCAATATTTGAGTTGTCAGAGTAGCATTCGTTGCATTTCTATTTCTCTATATGTAATTTACAATTTGTCAAACGTTTCAATGATCATTTAATAAAATATTTGGAATCAACCAGAAGTGCCAAGGATTAGGATGCCAATATTTACGCAATAATTACAATCGTTACAAAAATTTATAATTTTTTCCCTTGGCACAGATTAAAATTAGAATGATTAAAAACGAGAGTAGTAAAAAAGATCTCGTGCAAATAATTAGATAAATAACTTACCCTAAGGGAAGTCAATATGTATTTTATCCAAAATATATTAGAACTAATGGATAAGCTTGTATCTTATTTTCTAATATATTTATTTTTAATTTAATAAACTAATTGAATTAGAACAAAATATATAAGAATAAAACTTTTTTTTACGGCATAAATATATTATTCCAATTTCTTTTACCAATTATAAATTAAAATATATATAATATACAGTAAATAGAATACTGTGTAATGCTATAATAACAATTTACTAACATTGACATTATGATATATTAAAAATATTCTATACAACAGAACTTAAAGTGAAATAGTTCAATTAAATTCAATAAAACAACTATTTCACAATAAAACTTCAATAAAAACAACTATTATCCATACTGTAACAGTACAAAAGCTATGTTTGCCATAGAAAAACATAGTTCAAACCTAATAATAGAAGTTTTTATTATTCTCCTCACACACATATTAAAATATATCCAATATGCAATTAACCAAATACTATGGACCTAATTAAACCATCTCGTACATTGTCACTCGCCGGTCCTACGCAGAAATTAAACAACACAGATTCCGATTGTACTCTTTGAGAGCAAGCCCCCATGGGATACCAGCCAACTTTATTAAAAACTACTCCTACCTTATAAACTTTATTTTTCTGGATGTAAATTGCTCGGTTAAATGAAATCTCTTGTAAGGATCTGAAGGAAACCCGCGCTGTATGGTGTGTATATGTTAGTCGTGATCCATCAGCGTCCAGTAAGTGTGCATATAAGATATCTGTGTAACATCCTATGTTCTGATTACCGTTGCCTTCAGATACCGTCACTTGTGTTGGAACCTGTGAGAAATTTAAATTCATAATTAAATAGTGCGGTGCATGGAATCGTGCCTTAAGGCAAATTGCTGGAACTTCCTGCACCGTAATTAAAAATCTTGGTACGGAACCCAAAAAAATTACACAAAATGTGTACACATTATTAAAATCACTATGAAATATCTGATAATTTGATGTACATATGTCCAATATGTACTTTTGTATGTATTTTTGACCGCCAAATGACATTTTTTTAACTTATTTTTATTGAGAGTCCATAACTGCTGGATATGCCTTCACAAAAAGTTAATCTGTTCTTCATCTTGTTAACTTAATACAAGTAAAATGTTTTTTGCATTATTAAAATCGGACGCTCCGTTCTCTTAAAAACTGAGTTACGGTTTTTGGCACTTTTTGCCCCGTATTTTCGGAACGGCTAGAACTGCCTTCGCCAAAAACTAATCAGCACGTCTCCTTATAAATACGAATCGAATGTTTTTTAATTATTCAAATCGGTTGATCGGTATTCCCGAAATCGTCGACGAAAATTTGTATCCGCACACACACATACACTATATTCAGAAACCTTTGAAACGTACAGATATATAAAAATTTTCCTTTTCGATTTTTTTGCGATTACTATAACTCACCCTATGGGAAGTTAAAAATGCATATCAACGGATACAGAGCAAATAACAGCTATAAAATAAAAATAAACTACCATGTTATGTTATCTAAAAGAAAAATGATTTGATTCTTACGTAATGCCATCATTCAATTAGTTACCGCTAATCGACTTTTATCCTTATTAACTTCCCGAAGGATAAATTTCGCCAGATATTCCGACTTGCTAATTTTATAATTTGCAAATTGCAAAAAGTATCAATAAAAATTGACCTTTCATAGAAGTTTTTACAAAAACGCCTAATCTATCAAAAATTTAAAAAGCGTTCGACGATACATCATAAGGACTCGCGTTGATTGTGCGAAATGATCGGCTGAGATGTTTATAATTAGCAAAAAGAATTCAGAATACAAAATTGATTAAAAACATAAAATAATTCATCCAGATTTAAATCAAAAAACGATTTTAAAATATCGGAAACTGTTAGTTCGAAAAATATGCGCTGAGAATCATGCTGTAAAACTTTTTAGTAAAAGTCAGCAGAGCCATAATTAATTTTAAAGAAATCGACGATTCTGATGAAACTTTTTAAGATAATAGATTTCACGATCTTAAAAAGCATTGTGAAACAATATCTACAAGAGGTTAAATTACCGAATTTCATTTCATGTTATTCAGAACAACCATAGTGTATGTTCTAAGCATGTGTTTGTATACTATTTCAAATACTATTACAGATATGTCTAACAGATATCAAGTGGAAATCGCATTGACTTGTTTTAACTTTATTTTTGAAAAGAACACTTAAAAAACGTATCTTAAGAGTTAAAATACATTTTTAGTTTTTAGGCGATTATTTGTACTTATGAAGAAGTACATGCAACTTCAAATAATGGGCCTTTAGAAAATACAAGAAGGTGTTTGTGCACTATAATTGATGCAATTACAGATATTAGAAGCCTATTTGAAAGATATCATATGGAAATGGCATTGATCACTTTTCAATGAAAGCAAAATCTTTATTTTCTCAGTGATTAAGTCAATAATTTAGGTCTATTGGGGAGTTGATGCAATTTGACTTGAGACAAAATGCCAAATAGTGAAGAACATTTCACAAGCAAGAAAGATAAGAAATGATATTAGAACTATTTGTCTAAATTGTATGAAAGAAATGAATTTGCACAATAATATTTAAACGCATATACTCATGTTTAGTGATAAAAGTAAAAAAAAAAACTCTACAAAGCTAGACATTTTAAACATGCTAAATTTATAATGTCAAATATTCCTAAAATATTTAATAAAATCATAAATTACTTGCCTGAATTCCAGTGACACATATATTCTTGTCCACAGTGAAAGTAACTGAGCAATCCAAAACACTAGCATTTAGGCAATCTGTTTGTTGCATCATAGGCCTTAAGCATATATATTTGCTCAAATCTCTTGGATTACTGCGACACTCATAACTAGAGCTACTACTTGCCAGTCCTACCGGAGGTGGCACAGTCAGAGTAACATTGCTCACACTATTTGTAGTTGACGGTGTTGGAACTGGACAAAAAGCAGATCGACTGATAGATTCCCTTTGAGGTACCATTTGCATGACTGGAATTTCAGAAACTTTGTCTGTTGGATGCAATGAACAATCATGCATGTTGTTGCCTAACGTTTTTTGATACTAAAATAAAATTATTAGATAAATTAACATAAAAAACACACATATAAGATAATTTTACTTACCTTGACACGTCTTTCAGTAGATAAAGAAAAACCTTCTGGCATAGGGCAGTCAGATAAAGGTGATGATATATTCATAAGAATTGCAAATGCTTCTGCCTGTGTGAGTAAATTTGATTTTGCAGGCCCTTCTGCAAACTCTTGAGGAGTTAATGTTAAAAATCTTATTTGTTGTACTGCCATACGAACATGAGGGATCTGAGCCATTGCTTCAGGGTTATCTAAAGTAAACATAGAATTGAATAAAGCACATATTCAGTGTTACTGATAGTTTATGCAAACTCACCAGCAGAATATTTTTGAGCATATCGTACAGCAGCATCAAAAAGATCCAGTTCAGAGTCTATACTTAAAAATTCTTGTTCAAATATTGTGACTAATGTTTGGGGCTCAATATCATCGAAAGAGTTGCAGTTTAATACTTCCAAAGTATTTGAACATATAATCTAAAAGACAGAACATTCATAAATCATATAAAAAAAGTTTCAAGTAAAACTTGCACTAGCTACTTACTTGTCGACATTTGTCCATCAATACAGGCTCTTCAAATAATTTAGCAAATTCATATGCTTTAACAGCATTTCGGGCATGTAGATCAGACCATAAAAATTTTGTACATTTCTCTACCAAATGTGGTAACATATACTTTTTTGCACAATAACACAATTCACAAGCTTTGTCAAAAGAGTTTATATTAATGTTGTCTGTGTAGATATACCTAAATGAAAAGATATATGAAATATAAATAAGCTGGTAATATATTTCAGAGAGGCATATCAATTGTTAAAAGAAATTATAGATCAAAGACAGGTATTAATGATAAATATTATTTCAGGCTCTTGTGAACAATATTATGACAAGCCTGAATAATTATTTAGAAGAAGGTATGACTAAATGTGATATTATTGATAATATATTATAGTAAGTATTCGAGACAGATTAAGTTGTAAACTTCAAGGAAAGAAGCCTAATGAAAAGGTTTTTTATTGAACATATAATCTGACAAATATACACTTACTCTAGTAATGCCTTAAAAGCATCTGGCTGAACATCCAATATTGGAATTGTATCATTTTTCTCAGCCATATTTCCAAAAAACATAGCTTCGAATACTGGAGAGGCAATGGCCAAAAATAATTTATGAGCCTCCACAACTTGTTGATTAGATTCTGAACCAACTAAAAATTTGCAATCTGACCATTGCCCTGTTTCTAAAAGATATTGAGCCCTCTGTCTTACTTCTTTTCTTGATATTTGCCAGTCAACTGAATTATTTTGTTCCATCTAAAAAAAAGTACACATATGTACCTTGGGAAATATTGTTCATAATAACACGAATATAGTATTTAGATAGTTACCTTGAAAATGTGAAATATATATTGCGACGTTTGTTATAAATTACACTTTCCTATGAATTATTTTTATCTGCTGAGGTAATTGACATAGCAAAAGTCAGGGTTAGTCAGTGCCAAAATAATATTTTGCTTTCAACTTTCAATAGTTTAATAATAAAAATACTCTGTACACTTTAGAGTTGCCATATACAAGAAAATATGTCGATGGCTGTCATTAAGATGATGTTGCCACATGTGATTAAACATGCCGGTATTCCATGTGAGTTAAAGTATTGCCATATGTGATTAAGGAGTTTTTTTTATTCGTTTGTTTTAACTGATGTAGTTAAAGCGCTGATTTTAAATCGGAGAATTATGGATAGATATCTTTGAATATTTAAAATAAAACGGCAAAAACTTTGGATAAATATCTTGTTTTGTATGGTCTTTTGGATTCAATTTAGTGCAATTTGTACTTTAAAGTATACAGAGAGCTTCCAAAACTTATCTCTATTTTGAATAGTGTCATAGTTTCATATTTTTATCTAAATTTATTTAATTATAAACATTTCAAATCATAAAAAAATAATGAGGAGGATCGTGCCACGCTTCATCCCTGTAATAAATTTTCTATATACATATTATTCTGAAGTTATTCACAAATATAGTTTATATTTACAACAAACAATAAATTTGATGAAAAAACATGATTTATTATAGAATACGATACAATATTGTTTCACAAAATGTTAATATCATACAATACTAAATAATGCCATATAAAATTATGTTTTATCATATGAAAAGCCCAGTATTTATGTCTACATATATAGTGTGCAATCTTTGTGATAGATATGAGAAAACATTATTTGCTTACTTTTAATTTCCAAGCTACTATTGTCTAGTGAATAATTTCAATATATTTTGAAATATAATACCTAGAACTAGTTGTTATATATAAATGTTTCTATTTAAATACCCATCACAGAAGCTAGCTTGTGTATTAAGTATTTCTTTGTTATACTCATATTCATTTTAATTTAGTCCATCAAGATATACAACACGCACAAACACATCTCATTTAAAGCATTAACTGACAAAAATAAACTGACTGCATCCACAACAAATGACTGAAAAGTTATCATTGATATTTTACAATTTCATTGATAAGTACACATATCCCTGCGGGGAATTTAGATAAAGAATTTTTTCGATGATCATATAAAGAAATATCAATTTTCTAGAGATTTTCAATATTGTCAATAATGTCTTACAACTACTATAGCTGACATGTCCTAACAATTCAAGGATTTAAGAATGATCTACAATTGCTAATTATGTCAGCTTACAAGCAAATTCCAAGATCAACATCTTTCTGTAATGCGATATATTATTTAAGATTATTTGTAAGATTGTGGAATGTTAATACACCTATATAGTATAGGAATCACTAATATTTAGCTGTGTTTTTATAATACTCTGTTTTATTAATCGAGAGAACTAGCTAGATTTTTATCAAGAAATAACTTTTCTTAAACCTACACAAAAGCAATGCCATAGCCTGGACAACAAGTATAAAAAAAATAAATTTTAATTATCCTTACATAGTGATAATTGTACATTTATTGTATGCATGTATGTTATTTAGTATATGTATATACATAACATGTATATGTATGTATTGGACTCAATTTAGAAATGTGTATAGAATATGTGTTAAATATGTCGAATGCGCCAAAACAATCACAGAATTAATTCAAAAAAAATGTAAAATTAAGTAGTAAGTGATGTAAATCAATATGCATATAACAAATCTAAACTTAAATTAAAATGAATAATATTTTAAAATACTGAAAGTTTTAAAATCACATGTTGCAAGTTAATGATAAAGATATTCGATCATTAGTTAATTTTTCTCTTAAAATCTAAAAATGTATAAACTATATAGTTAATTAGAAAGCGCAAAATCATTGTTGCATATAAAGTAACATGTTATTAACCTGAAGAGGCTGTGACGGGAGATTCTTCTTCTTGTTCCAAAGCTGCTTTGTTTTGGCGAACCATTTCTGCTCTGCGGTCCTAAAAAAAACAATTTTAAATAAATAAATATTAAATAATAATCTTATCTCACTCAAAATCAATATTATATATTATAAACAACAAAAACTTTTGTGCAAAAAATTCAGAAGATATTTTATAATATAGAACAGATAAAATCGCTTAGGAATGCAAATGATCACATGCATATCTATTGATGAATTCAATAACAAAAACAACTAACATGTTTTATGAATGTGTTTAAGAACAAAAACCTGGACAAATCAGACACTAATTATTACTCAGTAAACAAATTTCTAATATATTTTAAAATTCGCACCAGGAAAAACTTATTAAAAATACATTTATAATTAAAATTATAAATTCTTTAGATTTAAATACCAAATTGCTAAATTAATCAGCAATGAGATTTAGTAACAATAGACCTTTCTGTTAATTTGATAGATATTAAAACCTACATGTTCTTTAATTTGGTCAAGTTTTTTCTGTATTTCCTGAGCACGTTTTTGTTCGGCAGTGGATAATTTTGTTTCAATAATTTTCGATGTTTCAGTCTTCAAAATTTCATCCTGAGTCTCAATAATACTCCTCACTTCGGCGATCTTGACTGTGTTCTATGCGATGAATATGAGGAAATTATAAAAATATGAAAATGAATGATTTGAAATTAATAAATTAATTGTAAATAAAAAAATCAGCTTTATGCATGCTTAGAATCAACAAACAAAAAAGTCAAATACTAACATGCTTTTGTGATCATATAAATATTCAAAAATAAATGTGCTAAAGGCTAAAACAATGATATAAACTTTGATATTCATCAAACAGACAATTTATCAATAAGTGAATAAAAATGCAATGGATATATTTCAGAATGCATTTAAAAATATCACACATAAAAAAGTATTTAAATCGAAAAGACAATGAAAACTTCTAATCGGCATAGAGAAAACTAAAGCAACTTTTAACTTACATGATTTCTAAGCTTCTCCTTCTGTTCCTGCTCGAGTTGAATTCGTCTATTTTCAGCCTGTTCGAGTTTTGAGTTAATTGTTGTTTCTAATTGCTGAAATTTTTCCATATTCGCGCTGCGAACTCTTTGCACTTGTTCTTCCTAATAACATGCATGGTAAAATGTGCCATATAAGTTTTTGGAAGTACATTTGCATGTGCAAGCACGAATGATTTGCAAATCAATTGAAGCAATGATTAAATATTATTTTTAAATTATTTTTACTTACATGTTCCTTTAGGCGTTCTAACATTTTTTTGATGTTTTCATCGCGATGAGCTGTAACGGTGTTGACTTTTTCTTGCATGGCGTTTCTTACTTCTTCGGTTTGTTGGTCCAGAGTTAGCCTAAAGGTATGTAAAATGAAATAAATTGTTTAATAAACAACCAAATCATATAGAAAATAAGAATTTTTAAAAATATTTGAAATATTTTAATAGAAATAGAGCAAAAATGGTTTAAGGTATAATAAGTGGACCAATAAATTTAGAAATGATTGAAGAGGAAACTAACTAAAGAAAGAAATGTAAAGACTATGCAAAAAGGGATATTTTTTCTTAATTTAAGCAGAGCATGTAAATCGATTGTCTATTACATCTTACCGGCTTTTTTCGACGCTTTCCAAATGTTCCTTCATCTTCTTTTTGAGATCATTAATATAAGCTTCGCGTTTCTCAATGTGAGTTTCCATTTTCGCATCCAATGCCTCCTTGGTGTTGACGATGAAGGAGCTCGTCTGCTCGTCTTTCTTGCGAGAAGCTTCTTCAATCTTGGCCATTTTGGCCGTAATAGCTGCCATTTTGTTTGCTTCGAGACTCTAATAAAGGAAAATACAGTTAGAAATAAATGATCTTTAAACAATCAAAACCTAAAAAATTGAGACAAGTTGCCAAAGATAAAAACAGTTACGTCAGGCCAATATCGAATTTTCCAAACGTATAGTCAAATGATATTCTTTTAACATATTTTACTTACCAGACGTCTTTCTTCTGCTTTCTTTAGTTTCTCCTGGATTTCTTCAACCGAAAGATTTTTGGGTGTAGGTGGAGAACCAGCCCGTTTAGGTGTGGTATTTGTAGATGGTTCAGCCAGGATCACTTCATAGCAGAGACCACCGCGAGATTTCTCTTGGCAGCGGATCTCGGTTGCTAGAAAAAAGGAAGGTAAACGATTAATCGAAATTCGTAAGAATAAAGTAATTAATAAATTATGTCATTTATGATTATATATTATCAAACATTCTGTAATTTACATGGTCAATATATGTCGAATATAAACCATGTTAAAAAAGTCTGCACTTAGTTTTTTATTGTCATGTTTTATCGACAATTACGTTTTACAGATATTTTTATATTTTTATAAACAGGATATAAATGTTTTAAAATTTAATTATGTATATTTTAACATGTTTTTTTATAATCATTTAAGATTGAAAACGTTTATTATTTTAATTTCATTGCAGCTATATGCATCCATACATTCATGCAATACACATATGCATATGTGGTACATATAATTCACAGACATAAAAACCAAAAAAATCTTCAATGTAAAATATTAATTTTCAATTATTTTGAAGTTGATCTTCAGTGAATTCTATGTGTGTACTTCATCTTGTATCAGAAAGTATAACAATGAGAAATATCACGTACTCATAGTGCATGCTTTTCCATTAATTTTAGTAATACAAAGAATACACTAAATTTTATTAAAAAATAAAAGCATTACATATTTATATTTTTTAATAACATCCAATTATTATTAAACATATTAGAAAATGATATCTTGTACATAAATAATAAAATCTGAAAAAATATCTCGAAGCAGGATTTATAGTAAGTACTGCATTTTCATCCTGAAAAATATATTTTGTTTCATCTAATAATTCACATAGATCCCAATTTTATCTCTGCATGGCACACTATATCTAGACTCAATATTGGGGACGTATCCAATATACAATAACTCAGAGCCGCCCTTAAGCAAACAAACCCCAAAGAATCTCTTGTTTGTTTCGGAATATAATAAAATACAAAAAGCACTTCAAAATAAAATCGTATTTAGGAATTTGGTAAAATATTCAAACTAAAAGGTAATAATAAATAATAAGCTAATAACTAATAGATGTAAGTATAAAAGCAACTGATCAACTGTTATGAAATAATTGGTGACAAATTTTGATGCACATTCTAATAATATTAAATATATAAAAAATGTGGGCTCGCCCGTAGGTAAGCGGTTAAGAGCGACGGGACCTGAATCAGAGGTTCCGGGTTCGATACCCATTTCGAGCAGCCTGTTGTCAGGCAGCATTGACAACGATTTTCACTCGGAAATATAGATAGCAATATATTTCCAAGGGAAAATAGCCCTTGGCCGGCATTGCTGCACCAATAAAAAGTCAGCCCTGTTAGATTAATTCTAATAACAAAAATCATCAAATATGGATGGATTAACCAATGGGTTACCATCTAAAAATACGAAGTAAGGAGAAGTTTCAGCCCAACAGCTCATAGGACGAAAGGTTCTGATTGCTGTTAAAAAATATATCATATAAAAAATATAAGTAAGTAACTGAAATGAAATTTAATTAAATGCTTTTTATAAAATCTAATGTTCTAACGTAAACCGTTCAACTCTAATATTTTAAATTTGTGGTAATCATACTCGACAAGAGCCAAGGGAGTAAAATCGAAGAGAGTCTATAATGATATTATAATTGATAATGAATAAATAAATAAATAAATATAATCAGTTTTAGTAGAAAAATTAATTTTAATATTTTTTTACTCATAAATCTATAATTACCATCAAGGTTTAATTCTGTTTGATGTCGCCAGTGAAAGTAATCTTCACTGAACAATTTTAGGATGTCCGCCTGGGCAGTAGTAATATGGAACGTCCGTGTGACGCGTCTGTTCGAAGATCGATATCCGAACTCCCTAATGCGTACCGAACCCCTACCATGACTTACTTCTCACTTTTCCTACTTTTTCCTAACTTTTCACCCAAAATGAGACCATTTTCTCTGCTACCCGCTTTCGAAAAACAACCACTGCTCAGACAAAGTCGACACGCGGTGCGCTCTTATAGGAAAAAGTAATGACTTTTTCAAGAATTATGTATTAGCCGGAGGAGACTTCTCAACTTTTTGAGAAGAACTATAATCGCTAAGAAAAAGAATAATGATTTAGTATCTACGATTTGAACAATTCTAAAATTTATGTATGAAAAACAACATTGTCGAAAATGTTCTTTGTTACAGGTCTTCTTTTTTAATCTTAAATTTAAAGAGTTCTCCGAGAGGAATGGAAAATACAAGTACAAAGAAGATGTTCAATCCTTCCTTTCACAATGCAGAATCCAAAATCATATCAATACATACACATATTTTGTATTTGATAATTATGTCAGAATCAAAACTAAAAACTTACCAATTAGATAATAAAGTAAGTGTTATACTTACATTACATTTGGATTTTTAATTTAAAAAATAAATTTATATGTACATATATCAAATGATGATCCCAGATATGTTACAAAAATATATAAGAACAAACTAAAGTCATGTAACATAAGGCATGAAATGATAAAATATGAATCAATAAATGTGAAATAAATAATGAGCTTTTAACAATAAATCACCTAGAAACAAATGAAAAAATAAAAAATTATATATATATATATATTATATATTATATATATATATATACTAGCAAACCCGACGAACTCCGTTTCGCCAGCAGTTGGTTTCGTGAGAAAGATGAAGAAATGTTTGGTTTGTTTTATATTTGAAAAGAAAAAAAGAATGATTTTATTATACAACAGTAATGAATTTATTTCGATTACAAAAATGAATTGGTTTTTAGTTGAACTTCTCTAAGTAAATGAAAGTGAATCCGCAAATTATCCGTTTCATTGAAGTTCTCTTTGGTAAACCACATTTTTTGTTTTTTGGTCTGACGTTAACAGAAATAAAGCGGATGGTTTTCCAACTCGTGAACAGGCAACGTATAACTGCTCATGCAAAAAACAATGATTTTATAAATAATCTATTTGAAATTTATCCCGAAAACACTAAGCAATTGGCCTTGCGACTTGTTAATTGTCATTGCGAACGCAAGGCGAACTGGAAATTGCAATCGTTTGGAGTCAAACGGAAGACCAGTCAGAATCATAGGTATGTCACCAAATCACCAGCAATAATTGATTGAATTGTGAAATTCAGTGCGTGTACATCATATTTATTGGCGGCAAGAATTGCTCGTTGACTTAACCAAGCATATTTCTGATAATTCTCACTAATGTCATTACTCGAATTTTTCATTTCATGCACCATTAATTTTCTTAGCTATAAACCTTGCGGAGCCCGAGACCTTTCCAAAGAAAGCAAAATTGTCGAAATCGGTTCGTGCGTTCTGGAGTTAATTCATCAGGAAGGAAAACCCGACTTATTTTTATATATATATAGAAGATAATCTATTTGAAATTATTTAAAACAGTTATTGATTATTTTAATTACTCGGATTTATAATTACGGTGCATGAAGTTCCAGCAATTTGCATTAGGGCACGATGCCATGCACCACTAATTTTCTAAGCTATAAACCTTGCGGAGCCCGAGACCTTTCCAACGAATGCAAAATTGTCGAAATCGGTTCGTGCGTTCTGGAGTTAATTCGTCAGGAAGGAAAACCCGACTTATTTTTATATATATAGAAGATAATCTATTTGAAATTATTTAAAACAGTTATTGATTATTTTAATTACTCGGATTTATAATTACGGTGCATGAAGTTCCAGCAATTTGCATTAGGGCACGATGCCATGCACCACTAATTTTCTAAGCTATAAACCTTGCGGAGCCCGAGACCTTTCCAACGAATGCAAAATTGTCGAAATCGGTTCGTGCGTTCTGGAGTTAATTCGTCAGGAAGGAAAACCCGACTTATTCTTATATATATAGAAGATTAGGGTGGTCCTTAAAATGGTCATTTTCGAATTTCCTTGCTCCCAGGGGCTCGAATGGTTCCAAATTGATAAAAAACAATTCTCTGCAAGTTTTAGCTTCTAATATCAACGTTTAGATAGAGCTTAATTTAATCAAAGTTTTGTATGGAAATAGCATGGAAAAATTTTCAAAAATTTTAAAATTGTTTTTTAGATGTAATTTAACGAACAAATGTATGAATAAAACTTATTTATTTGTCGGTAAGTTACACCTAAAACATTTTTTTTCAAGTTTTCAAATTTTTTCCATGCTCTTTCCATACGAAGTTTGATTGAATTGCGCTCTATCTAAGCGTTAATATTGAGAGCTAAAACTTTCAGAGAATTGTTTTTATCAATTTGGAACCATTTGAGCCCCTGGGAGCAAGGAAATTCGAAAATGACCATTTTAAGGACTACCCTAATATATATATATACATACATACATACATACATACATATATATATATATATATATTTTGTAGAGTTTCGAACAAGAATCCAAAAATAATACAAAATAAAAAACAAGAAAAGTTTTTAAAAAAACAATTTCTTTATTTAATTATTTGTTTATTGTCGACGTTTCGGAACTAGGTACGTTCCATCTTCAGGACATCTGTCAAGAAACATGATCTTGATGAGATTTTTGCAAACAATATGTTTAGGAAAAGAAAATAGATTTTTCTTAAATAATGAATTAAATTGTAAAAAATATAATAATGTACAGAAATATGTACAGATTAAATATACAGAAATATTCTTGACAGATGTCCTGAAGATGGAACGTACCTAGTTCCGAAACGTCGACAATAAACAAATAATTAAATAAAGAAATTGTTTTTTTAAAAACTTTTCTTGTTTTTTATTTTGTATTATTTTTGGATTCTTGTTCGAAACTCTACAAAATATACACAAATCCAAGACTCTACCATTCAATATATATATATATATATATATCAACATATGAATGACTTAACCAGTTGTGATTGACGAACATACTCGTAATGGAAAAAAGGCAGAAATTTGTGTATTGAGTATATGGTTATAAAACATATTCGTCCTGGTTATAAAACAATTACCTTTCCTAATAAAATTTAAATTTTTGGATACAACAAAATATATTCTGGAATGTCGAGTTTTTTTTTAGAATATTTTGAACC